AGCCATGCAGGTCACCAGTATAGTCAACCTAGTAGGCAAGCCTCTTTGTCACCCTTCCTTTGATGGCCACTGTACCATCGGGCTCCCTAGGACACCCCATTCACCCCCACCACAGGACTTCCTCTCAAGATCCAGCCTTCATGTTTCTACTCTCAGTTTTTTATTGTTGTAGAAATCATTATTTCACTGTCCTTTAGTTTTTAACAAGGTGATTCCATCTTCAACATAGAAGTTGGGTTTAGTACCTTGGCATTATTCAGAATGGAATCATTTCCAACGTCAAACTGAGACTCGATACCCATAAAAAATGCTTTCGTTCTATTTGTTTTCTAATTAGAACTGTTTACTTACTATTTCATGCATTCTGAGCATATCATTGAAATCCTGCAACACAGCCTCCTCCAGTGCTGAGGGGACCTAAGAAAGGGCAGACCAAGGAAAACTCCCAAATACTCAATCAGCCACAGCAAAGATTGGACCAAGACGCCAAGACTCTGCTGGCCTCATTTGAAGGAAGAGATGGGTAGGAACCAATGCAAGAATTCCTCCAACATCCTGAAAACCAGCATGGTAACACCAGAATCCAGCGAACACGCAACAGGAAGACTTAAACTTCCTAACCCAGAAGAAGAAGAAGGAAACGACTTTAACTGTAACCTTACGAAAATGATGGAGACCTTTAAACAGGAAATGAAAAACTCCCTTAAAGAAATGGAAGAGAAGACAAACAAAAAGTTAGAAGAAATTAATAAATCCTTAAAAGATACCCAAGAAAACCAAGAAAAAAAAATAAAACAGGTAAAGGAAACAGTTTAAGACTTGAAGAACAAAGTGGAGGAAATAAAACACAAACCGGGGGAAGGCTGGATATGGAAAATCTGGAAAAACAAACAGGAACTACAGAGACAAGTATAACCAACAGAACAAGAGATAGAAAAAAGAATCTCAGGCACTGAGAATACAATAGAGGAAATAGACTCATTGATCAAAGAAAACATTAAATTCAACAAATTCTTAACACAAAACATTCAGGAAATCTAAGACACCATGAAAAGACCAAACCTAATAATGAGGGTAGAAGAAGGAAAAGAACGCCAGCTCAAAGGCACAGAAAATATATTTAACAAAATTATAGAAAACTTTTCCAACCTAAAGAAGGATATCCCTATGAAAGTACAAGAAGCTTACAGAATATTAAATAGACTGGATCAAAAAAAATCCCCTGGCCATATAATAATCAAAACACAAAACATACAGAATAAAGAAAAAATATTAAGAGCTGCAAAGGAAAAAGGTCAAGTAACGTATGAAGGTAAACCTATCAAAATTACACCTGACTTCTCAATGGAAAGCAAGAAGGTCTTGGATAGATGTGCTGCATACACTAAGAGACTATGGATGCAAGCCCAAAGTATTATACCCAGCAAAGCTTTCTTTCACCATCAATGGAGAAAACAAGATATTCCATGACAAAAAAAAAAAACAGATTTAAACAGTATGTACTCACAATCCCAACCTTACAGAAAGTACTAGAAGGAAAATATCAACCAAAGGAAGCTAATGACACCCACAATAACAGAGACATCTGATAACCCTCCACCAACACAATTCAAAGAAAGGAAACAAACATTACCACCAAAAAATAACCAGAGTTAACAACCACTGGTCATTAATATTGCTTAATATCAATAGACTCAATTCACATATAAAAAGGCACAGGTTAAGAGAATGGATATGAAAACAGGATCCAGCATTCTGCTGTTTGCAAGAAACACACCTCAACCTCAAAGACAGACACTACCTCAGTTTAAAGGGTTTAGAAAAGGTTTTCCAATCAAACGGACTTAAGAAACAAGTGGGTGTGGCTATCCTAATATCTAACAAAATTGATTTCAAACTAAAATCAAACAGAAGATATGGAGAAGGACACTTGATACTCATAACAGGAACAATTCATCAAGATGAAGTCTCAGTCCTGAATATCTATGCCCCTAATATAAAAGCACACACTTATGCAAAAGAAACATTACTAAAACTCAAATCATACATCAAAACCCACACAATAACATTAGGAAATTTCAACACTCCTCTTTTGCCAATGGACAGGTCAACTAGACAGAAACTTAACAGAGAAATAAGAGAACAGATGTAATGAATCAGATGGACTTAATCTATAAAACATTCCACCAAAACAGGAAAGAATATACCTTCTTCACAGCACCTCATGGAACCTTCTCTAAAATTGATCACACTCGGTAATAAAGCAAACCTCAACAAATACAAAACAAATGGGAGTAACCTCCTGTGTCTTATCAGATCACCATGGAGTAAAGTTAGAATTTAACAACAATACTACTCCCAGAAAGCCTACAAATGCATGAAAACTGAACTGTCAACTACTGCACTACCCCTGGGTCAGGGAAGAAATAAAGAAAGAAATTAAAGTCTTCCTGGAATTCAACAAAAATGAAGAAACAACATATCCAAACCTATGGGACACTATGAAAGCAGTGTTAAGGGGAAAGTTCATAGCACTAAGTGGCTGCATAAAGAAAACGGAGGAAGCTCACATTAGCAACTTAACAGCACACCTGAAAGCTCTAGGAAAAAAAAAAGCAGACTCACCCAGGAGAAGAAGAAGACTGGAAATGATCAAATTGAGGGCTAAATCAACAAAATAGAAACACAGAAAACAATACAAACAATCAATGAAACAAAGAGCTGGTTCTTTGAGAAAATAAACAAGATTGACAAACCCTTATCCAAACTAATCAAAAGATGGAGAAAGAACACCCAAATTAACAAAATCAGAAATGAAAAGAGGGACATAACATCAGACACTGAGAAAATTCAGAGAATCATTAGGTCTTACTACAAAAGCCTGTACTCCACAAAATTGGGAAATGTAAAAGAAATGGACAATTTTTTAGATAGACACCATATACCAAAATTAAATCAAGACCGGTTGAGCAATTTAAATAGACCCATGAGTCACGAGGAAATAGAAGCTGTGATCAAAAACCTCATAACCAAAAAAAGCCCAGGACCAGATGGTTTTAGTGCAGAATTCTACCAGAACTTCCAAGAAGGGCTAATACCTATACTCCTTAATGTGTTCCACATAATAGGAACAGAAGAGTCATTGCCACACTCTTTTTATGAAGCTACAGTCACCCTGATACCAAAACCACACAAGAAAGAGAATTACAGACCAATCTCACTCATGAAAATCAGTGTAAAAATTCTCAATTAAATACTGGCAAACCAAATCCAAGAGTGCATCAAAAAAAAAATTATCCAATATGATCAATTAGGCTTCATCCCAGAGATGCAGGGCTGGTTCAACATATGAAAAGCTATCAATGTAATCCATCATATAAATAAACTGAAAGGAAAAAAAAAAACATATGATCATTTCATTAGATGCCAAAAAAAATTGACAAAATTTAACACCCCTTTATGCTGAAGGTATTGAAGAGATTAGGGATACAAGGATCATATCTAAATATAATAAAAGCAATATACAGCAAGCCGACAGATAATATTAAATTAAATGGAGAGAAACTCAAAGCGATTCCACTAAAATCAGAATAAGACAAAACTGTTCATGCTCTCCATATCTCTTCAACAAAAGACAAGATCTTGGAAGCAGACAAGATCGCCAGGCAAAAGTTTGGAGCATGGAGGTAGGGAGGGTAGAGGGAAGGAGAGTGGGAGAGAGAGGGGGGAAAATGGGAGGGTCGGGGAGAGCTTGGGGGAATGTGATGGTTGAGATGGAGGAAGGAAGAATATGGGGGCAGGGAAGGAGTTATCTTAACTGAGGGAGCCATTTTAGGGTTGGCAAGAAGGTTGGCTCTAGAGGGGTTCCCAGGAGTCCACCAGGATAACCCCAGCTAGGACCCTGGGCAGTGGAGGAGAGGGTGCCTGAACTGGCCTTGTCCCATAGTCAGACTGATGACCATCTTGAATATCACCATAGAACCTTCCTCCTGCAATGGATGGAGATAGAGACAGAGACCTACATCTGAGCACTGGACTGAGCTTCCAAAGTTCAGCTGAAGAGAGGAAGGAGAGAGAATATGAGCAAGGAAGTCAGGACCACTAGGGGTTGGTTCATCCACTGAGACAGTGTGCCTGAGCTAATGGGAGCTCACCAACTCCAGCTGGACTGGAAATGAACGAGTATGGGAGCAAACTGGACCCTCTGAATGTGGTTGACAACTGGGGTAGACTGAGAAGCCAATGATAATGGCACTGGGATTTGTCTCTACTGCATGTACTGGCTTTTTGGGATCCTATTCTCTTTGGATGCATACCCTCCTTAGCCTGGATGTGGAGGGGGGGGGCTTGGACTACTCACAGGGCAGGGTGCTTTGCCCTCTCTTCGGATTTGAGGGGGGTCGGGGGAAGAGTAGGGGGGGCAGGAGGGAAGTGGGAGGAGGGGAGGAAGTGGGAATTGTGATTGGTATTACTCATAAAGTAATAAAAAAAAAGGGAAAAAAGTCTTCGAACAGGGCAGGGAACTGACAGGGATATTCTGGCCCCCCCAAATCAGCGTAGATCAGGTCGTAAGGACTCTAGAGCCAACAATTCCAGAGGTGCACGCTGGAGCCTTTGGGGACAGTGCAATGTGTGAGCGACCCACCATTCCCGCCGCACAGTCAGGTGGCCCTCAAGGACCTGGAGTCATGCTGCCCCGATCTGAAAGACTCTAGGGACTTCCATGTAGCCCAGATCTAGAGGCCAGGGCATGCTTGGGTTCCCCAGATCTCAAGGAATGCCACATGAGCGAGAAGAATCTCACAAATTTGAGGACACTCCCAAAAGTACCCGTAGCGGGAAGCCAGCAGGGGAGCCGCTGAGGTGATCCGAGTCCCCCAAATCGTTAAGAATGCCCAGCAGGGATAACCGCTGGTGGTCCGGAAGTAGGGGAATATGGTGGCCTCCCTGAGTATTCAGAGGTGTCCTAGCAGAACAGGGGGCACGAGGAGGTCACTTACGCTGCTGTTCTCGCCTGTCCAGTGCACCATTGCCTGGTTGTGTGTCGCATCCTCCTTGTGCACGAACGACGTGCTGATGAGCGAGACCTGCAAGCGCGAGGCAGAAATGGCCACCGGCGCCGCCAGCGCCCAGCGCCCCTGGCCCGGAACTAGGACGCCATCTGCGCTGGGACCAGAAGCAAGACCTGGACCAGGACGCGGAGCGCTGGGCTCTGATCCTCGTGTCTGGGGATCCTCGCGATCGCAGGATTTCGGGCCTCCCGCATACAGCAGCCGGGTGACCTGCACGCTGGGACCCAGGCTCCCGGACTCGGGAGAGTGCCCCGCCGCCCCGCTGGCAGCCACCAGCATTAGCAGCAGCAGCGGCAGTGGCAGTGGCAGAGGCCACAAGCGCGGCCAGCGCGGCGGCGGCGGAGCATGGGAGCTCGGGGCCGGCACGGTGAGGCCAGGACGCTTCGGGGCGCCTGGTGTTTCCCGGTGCGCCATGGTCGCTGGTTAGCAGCGGCGGTACGGTGTGGGTGACACCGCGGCCTGGAAAGCGGGAGGGCGTTGGGAGCTGGAGCTAGAGCGCACAGAAAGAAACCAGGAGAAATGGAGTGCGGGAGGAGGGGTCTCAAAGCCGCCACGCAGCCAATGGAACACCGCCACCTGACGGCTGCGCGCGAGCCACCACAGCTTTGGGCCGGGCCAGACTAGGATGTCCTGAGCACAGTCACACCTCCAAGACCCCTTTCCTTCCCTCACAGTGACTCCCAAGCTCACCCTAGATCCTCCTCTTCCCCCCTCTTTCCATTCTCCCTGCCTTTCTCGGGAGGTTATGGAGCCTCTACATTTGGCCAGCCAGAGTTCCAGGCACTTGGGGCACAACGGGATGCAACAAAGGAAGACACGCCACACCCAAGTAGCCTGGTTAGAGGCCAAACAATTCCAGGGCTCCCCATCAGCAAAAGTGGTGAGAGCGCCTCCTCTGGTCGCTTTTGGAGAGGTTCAGGAGGATACCTTGAGAGTCATGAAAACCAGAGATGCTCCAAGCAGTTAAGGACTGTGCAGGAACCTTGGGGTGTCACCTCAAGACCAACGCAGTATTTCAGACACGGGCTTTATCTCCTACCCCCAGGGGAAGCCCCTAAACAGAAGAACAAACCTGTGTAGGGGTATCCAGACGGGCTTTTGAGAGGTTGACCTGCCAAACAAGCTCTTACTTGTCATTGACTACTATCCCTTGAAGAGCATTCATTACTGGAGAGATTCCAGGTTTGGGGGACTAGACGGTAGCGTTTTGAATTACAAATAACCAGGCATAAATAACATACTGTGGAGGACTACAAGAAGAAAGGCTAAGAGCTATTAATATTTGAAAAGTCACCTTAGTTGTTATCTGCTGATGTTGAATCTGCTGCATGAGACATTTAAAGACATTAAGGATTAACAATACCACCCAACTAGATAAGGTATATGTGACCATTTATGAGGGATCCTATAGCCCTTTTATATTATTCCAAACCTTTTCAAAAAATGAGTAGTTGAAGTACACAACTTCTGCCCTTAATAAGCCAGTGAGAGCAAGAATGATGAATACATGCATTATCCATATTGGGTTATTCCCTCCTTAGTAGAAGTATGCTAATTCATGCCTGGGTTTACATCTCTTACTGGAACTCATATTGGCCTTTGTGGCAGTCTAAGGAAAAACACAAGCATTCCCTTCTCTCATGGTTTAGTAGGGAGCTGGCATCTGCCAGTAGAGGGAGATAGGATCTCTCCATCTGAACAGGTGCATTGGTGTGATCCCTCACAGGGATACACAGTGCTTCTTAGCTGGGCTGAACCCCTTGCCATCAAAGCTGAGAAAGTTCATATGGAAAAGGACCTCTGTTAAAGCCAGATGAGGATCTCTTCTAGCCTCTGGTGAGAGTCCTAGTGAACAGCTTATTAAGAGCTCTGTTGGTCCTCTCCACAATGGCTTATCCATGTGGATTGCAGGTGATGCCAGTGGTATGGGAAAACTTCCAAGAGCTTAGAAAGTCATTGAATTATTGAGAGGCACAGGCAGGGCCATCATGGACCTCAAGGTTATCAAAGAAAACTCTATCGTCAGTAGTTAGGACAACACCCATATTCTCCAGGATGTTTCTGCCCCAGAGGTTTCTATGTACCACAGAAATGATAAGGTGAATGGCTTCCTTGTTGCCATCAAGGTCTCTTCAATGGATGGGATTGGTGGAAACTTTTGAATCTTGCTGGCTTCCTACTTCACTAAAGGGAGGCACAGGTCTAAATTTCCAATGGGGGAAGTGGAGTGCTTCCATTTGTTTATATGGTAACATCACACTCATGTTCACCAAGCCTGTGAGAGCTTGTTCAAAAAATAGACAAGTTAACATTGGGTATCATGAAAAAATGAGCAATGTCCAATTGATTTTTAGATTACCTTAGTGGTGCAGCGAGGAGTGCCCTGCCTAGAGTTTAAAGGGGCAGGTACTCCAGCAGATTGTGATGTGCAATCCTTTGCCAATGAAATCTGTTATTGCATCTGGTGCATCATGTGCTAGGTTTTGCCCTGGGACAGTCATTCCATAGATGGCCTGGTTTGCTGCATCCCCAGCAAGATCTCTCTACTTGAGGAGCCTTGGACGTGTTGTGGACATGCAGCCTGTCTACAAGGAGAGCATCCAGGGAAGTGGTAAGGACAGCCATGGGACCACTACTGGGGTCAAGATCTCTTGTGGCCAATACCCACTTGTGAAAGTCCTTATTGCAGACCACTGTGACTGCATTATGGGCTGGACATTCCCAAACCATGATTGATGGATGGGATGAAAAAAGTTCCTTATCCAGTGGTCATGTCAAGGGTCACTGGAACATTAATTAAGAATTTGAGGTTTCTCTCAATCCTTGTAAACTGATTTTAAGCTAAGAAACATGACCAGTCCTTGCACAACATTGAGAACAGTATAGAACCCAAAGTAAATCTGTACTTGAATTGTTCATTGAGTGATGACCTGTCCATTAGTCATGGATTGGCCTTCTAGCCTGTTACCACCATTTTTCTAACCTGGCCTTCAGAGCTCTTAACATATGTAGGCTGTGGGACTCTTCAGCATAGTTCTGCAATCTTATTCAAAGGCCAGGGAAACATTTTATTGATTTTTTTAACATGTGTCAATGAGGAAGTAGAGTGGAGAGTAGACCTGTTAGGGAAATGTTAATCAAACAGTTTGAGGACAAGGCTGTAAAGCAGCTTTATCCATGTCTATCTTGTCCTTAGGAATAATTCTATTACAAACTGACCATGAGTTTAACATTTGAGTCACAAAAGGGGAATTTATACCATGTAATAGTATCGCTTCCTGCTGGCATAACTGGATATCAACATGTAGAAAAATGAAAATAGACCCATATCTATTGCCATGCACAAAACTCAAGTCCAAATAGATCAAAAACCTCAACATAAAGCCAGCCACACTGAACCTTATAGAAGAGAAAGTGGGAAGTACACTTGAATGCATTGGCACAGGGAACCATTTCCTAAATAGAACCCCAGAAGCACAGACACTGAGAGAAACAATTAATAAATGGGACCTCCTGAAACTTAAAAGCTTCTATAAAGCAAAGGACATGGTCAACAAGACAAAACCATAGCCTAAAGAATGGTAAAAGATCTTCACTAACCCCACATCAAACAAAGGTCTGATCTCTAAAATATACAAAGAACTCAAGAAATTGGATACCAAAAGATCACATAATTCAATAAAATTGGAAGACCTAAACAGAGAACCCTCAGCAGAGGAATCTAAAATGGCTGAAAGACACTTAAGGAAATGTTCAACATCCTTAGTCATCAGAGAAATATAACTATGACAATGAACACCTGATTTTTGACATGGATGGAGGCAAAAATTGTACAATGGATTAAAAAAAAGCATGTTCAACAAATGGTGCTGGCATAACTAGATATCAACATGTAGAGGGATGTACGTAGATCCATATCATCCCCATGAGCAAAACCAATATCCAAATGGATCAAAGACCTCAGCATGAATTCAGTTATACTGAACAGTATAGAAGAGACAGTCACAAGTAGCCTTGAACACATGAAAACAGGAGATTCCCTTCCTAAATATTACAGTAGTAGCACAGACACTGAGAACAATGAATAAATGAGACCTCCTGAAACTGAGATGCTTCTGTAAGGCAAGGGACATGGTGAATAAGACAAAAGACAGTGAAGAGAATGAGAAAATGTCTTCACCAACCCTGTATATGATAAAGGGTTAATCTCCAAAATATGTAAAGAATTCAAGACACTAGACATCAAAATACCAAATAATCCAACTAAATATGGGATACAGATCTAATCAAAAAATTCTTAACTGAAGAATTCCAAATGACCAAAAGACACTTATGGAATTATTCAACATCCTGAGCCATCAGGGAAATGCAAACCAAATACTTTTATATATACCATCTTACAGCTGTCAGAATGGCTAAGATCATAAACACTGGTAACAGTTCATGCTGGAGAGGATGTAAAGAGAACACTTCTCCACTGCTGATGGGAGTGTGAACTTGTACAGCACTTTGGAAATCTGTATGGTGGTTTTTCAGAAAATTGGTAATCAATATACATTAAGACCTCACAATATAACCTTTGGGCCTATGTCCAAAGGATGCATATTCATACCACAAAGATATTTGCTCGACTATGTTCATAGACCTAGAAAGATACCATACGATGTGGATGTTAAACATAAGGCAAAGGATAATCAGATTATAATTTACAACCTCAATCAAATTAGATAAAAAAAACACAAGAGGGATATACATGGAGAGTCCCAGGAAAGGAAAATAGTTAAGATCTACTTACTAGACATGGAAGGGAAAAAAGGGGAAGGAATGGGGGATGGCCATATGAGGACTTGAGATGGCTGAGTTGGGGGAGCGATGGAGAGAGGGAGCAATGGAAGTTATCTTGATAGAGCAAGCCATTATGAGGTGAGGGAGAAACCAGGTATTAGGGAAATTGCCAGGAATTCACAAAAATGACCCAAGCTAAGACTCCTAGAAATAGTGGAGAGGGTACTTGAACTGACCTTCACCTATAATCCAATTGGCGACTACCATAATTGTCATCATTGAAACTGCACCCACTAACAATGGAAGCAGAAGCACAGACCCAGAGTGGAGCACTTGGCTGAGCTCCTGGAGATTAGTCAAAGAGGAGGATGGATCATCTGAGCAAGGGGCAACAAGATCATCACTGAGAACACCACAAAGACAGGTGACCCAACTAGTCGTAGCTCATGGACTCAAGATTGACAGTTAGGGATACTACATGGGACCAAACTAAGTCTTCTGAATGTGGGTGACAGTTGTGTCTTGTTCTGTTTAGGGACTTATCCCGGGTACATGAGAGGGCCTTTTGTAGCCCATTCCCTATGGTGGAACAACTTGCTCAGACTTATATAGGGAGACGGTCTTGGTCCTGTCTCAAATGGTATACCAGACATTGTTTTCTCCCAAAGGGAGGCTTACAAACTCTGAGGAGTTGATGGGGAATGGGATGGGCAGAGGTCGGTGGTGGAAAAAGGGAAGAAGTGGGCACTGGAAATGGTATGTAA